CCCCCCCCCCGTATCTCGCCCGCCTCCTGTTCCCGCCCGGTCAAAAGGACCCCTGTCAGTGTGTGACCACCCTCGAAAGGAGGTCATAGCTCCTCCTGTCCCCCTTCCTCTCTCCCTCTGCCCCTTCTAGCTTCCCCCCTCCCCCTTCCCCCTCTTCACGGAGCCCCCCTCCCATTGCTTTCTCCTCCACCTCCGGCTCCTTTCACCCACCCCGCTCCGGGCTTTTGGTTCCACCCCGGGCTTCCGGCCTTTCCACCACCACCACCTGCGAGCCACCATGGCCGACTCTCAGACGCACAAGCAGCACAATGTGCGCTTGGCCAAGAAGAAGCAGCAAAAGGTCGACCGTCTGGCAGCCAATTCCGGCGGGACAGCCATCCCCGAGCGCCCGACCAAGCGCGACAAGGATGCCCCCCGCGACATTGAGGCCGAGCGCCGCCGCAACCCGAAGGTTCGTCCGCCTCCCCACATGCCCTGTTCCTCTCTGTCCTTCTTTCTCTCTCTCTCTCTCTCCCTCTTCTGCGATTTCCTTTCTCACTCGGCCCCCCATTCATACACACGCATCCACGCACACAATCGCGCCTGCCTCCCGCTCCGCACCCTGCGCACGATTCCCCTCCTCATGTATCCCCCTCCACAATGGGTCTCCCTGCGTACAGGCCTTCATCGCTGCCTCTGGTCGCAGCATGATGCGCGCCCAGCAGCACAAGATGGAGAAGGCCGAGCGCCGCATGCATGCCCCGATGGCGAGCCGCACGGCTGGCCTCTCGGCGGCCGAGGCCCCGCCCGTGATGATTGGCGTTGTCGGCCCGCCCGGCGTCGGCAAGACCACCCTCATCAAGTCCCTGGTGAAGAAGTACACCAAGCAGAACCTGCGCGAGGTCAACGGCCCGATTACCGTGGTTTCCGGCAAGAGCCGACGCCTGACCTTCTTCGAGTGTGGCAATGACATGAACTCCATGATCGATTGCGCCAAGACCGCGGACCTGGTTCTGCTCATGGTGGATGCCAGCTTCGGCTTCGAGATGGTGCGTGTTCCTCGTCCTCCTTTTGCTGTCCCTGGCCGGGGGGGAGGAGGGCGACAGGCAGGACAGAATGGCAGCCGTCAGCATGCGTAGGGAGGGAGAGGAGGAGGGGGGGGGGGAGAGCAAGCGCAAAAGACCCAGAAGAGGGGGGTGGACACATACACGCTCAGCAACTCCAGGGCATCGGCAGTCTGCCCCTCAGAGGCCAGCATGAAGCATGCCTCAATGAGAGCCATCGGCCCGAGGTGCGGCGCCAGGACGCCCTGCACGAACTCCTTGGCCGCCGACAGGTAGGCCGGCGCGCTGGCAGACCGCATGGGATCATGGTGATGAGCAGGCGATCCGGGGCCTGTCCTGCCGGGCTCCGCACGGACCGCGTCCGCCACATTGGCCTGCAAGGCTCCGAGGACCACATGCCAGAGGGAGGGCTCCAGCGGGGCCCCACGGCGGAGGAGCACCGAGCAACCGGCGGCCGCGGTGGCGAAGTCATGCGACAGGATGGCTCGACGGACATGCTCCGCAAGCAGGAGACTATCCTGCTCGAGGTTGAGATTGGTGAAGCGGGCGAAATCAAACCCGATGGCAAAGGGGTCTGGCGGGGGCCGCAGCAGCGGCAGCCGCCGGCGGGCGGCCATCCGGCGGTCCATCTCTTCGACAAGGCCGGCCTACAGGACGAAGGACGGACGGGATGCGCAAGGGGGGGCGGCAGGGGGGGGGGGCAGGGCAAACTCGGCAGAATAGGAGGCAGAGGGCAGGGAAGAGAGGCACGCGGGGATGGCCAGCGGAGTGAGGGAGGAGGGCTGCCCGGCGGGCCAGGTGCTCGAACGCCCGTGCTGCCAGCCCATCAGCCCCCCCTGCCCCCCCACCTACGATAGATCTGGGGATGGGTGTGCCCGGGGGAGGGCGAGGGTGTCCCCCTGCGGTGAACCGGGGCGCGCCCTGCTTGATGCCTGGCCCCCCTCCCCTCTCCTCGGCTCCCGGAGCCAGCCCCGGCCTTCGTCCATGCAGGTTGATCGGATGGGCCAAGTCCCAACGCTTGCGCCGCACGTGAGAACGCACACGCGGCACCCGGCCGGAGCGCGGAGACCACCCGGCCACCCGACCATCCGAAGCGGGAATTGCCGTTCCCCGCCCCCTCCCCCGCCCCCCAGCATGGGTGCAATCCCCCCGCCCGCCCCATCCGCCCCCGGCAAGGGCAGGCTGTGGGCGTGGTCCTTTCCTTCCGCAGTGCGCCCCCCCGCCGCGCCCG